AAAACGAGGACTGGCACTTCATTCCAGATAGCCTGGGACTGTCACCTAAATCACATGAGAATGGCATCCCTCAGGCACTAAGCTCCAGAGAGCCCAGGCTCATTTCCAGCAGTCAGCAATCCCAGCCCTGCTTCTGCTGATTAGGATAAGACCTGTTTTGGAGAACATTTCCTTTCTAGGAAAATTCTGAAGTAATCTCATACTTTTGAGCTATAATTTTTTACCCTTTTATTAAAAAAAACAAAATAACATTCTAGGTAAAAATCATGACATTATTCATAAATAAACTCTCAAACCTTTGAATAAAAATGTCTTTGGAACTTCTCTTTCCATTTATTGAGGCATTAGGGAGTTGAAATGAGAGGGAGTAGGGTTTTTAAAATTTTATTTTTTATTGTGACAAAATACACATTAAATTCGTCATTTTAATCATCTTTGGTTGTATGGTTGAGTGGCATTAGGTACATTCACATTATCATACAACCATCACCACCATCCATCTCCAGAGAGTTTTCATCATCCCACAGTGAAACACCATACCCGTAACTAACCAATAACTTCTCATTTTCTCTCCCACAGCCCTGTGTAGCATTGCTCCATTTTATTTCTCTGTAGATTTGACTAACTTGAATAAGTGAATCATCCAATAGTTGTCCTTTTTTGTCCGGCATATTTCACTTAGCATAATGTCTTCAAGGTTCATGCATGTTGCAGCATGGATAAGAATGCCATTCTTTTTAAAGGCTGCAAAATATTTCATTATATGTACCACATTGTGTTTATCCATTCATGCGTCCACAGGCATTTGGCTTATGCCTGTTTGACTGTTATGAATAATACTGCTGTGTATGTGAGCATACAAATACCTGAGTTCCTGCTTTCAGTTTTTTGTGTGTGTATATACCTAGAAGTTGAATTGTTGGATCTAATGACAATTCTATGTTTAATTTTTTGAGGAACTACCATACAGTTTAATGCAGGGGGTGTATCACTTTACATTCCCACAAGCAATGCACTTGGTTTTCAATTTTCTGGGGAAGTAGGTTTTTACACATGAAAAAAAGATGGTGCCTTCAAAACGGCATCTCAAAACAATGCTATATATGTGCATTTGCAGTGAAACATTTCTCTCAAATTTTTTAAAGAATACTGTTTGTGAAATTCATTTTGGTTTATAACTCTTCATTTTGAAGAATTCAGTATTAGTGACATTCAGATTAAGCAAAAGTCACAGCAGCAGCACTTACCACAAAGACGACAAGCTGCCTACAGTGTCAATTAAATAACTAGGCATCCGTCAGGCAGAGGAGTGGTGATGAAGATTAGGGAAACAAGAAGAGGGTCTCAAAGCCAACCGGTGAGCTGCCAAGCCCATTAAATTAAGTAAAAAGTAAAAATAAGGAAGTGTAGTGATGAGCACAGAAAAGAGAAAGCAAATGGGGACACCTTTGACACAAGCAAAGAGATGGAGGTCATGCACTGTAAGAGGCCATTGGAAAGTTGCTTGATTTGTAAATATTAGGGACATTGAATTTCAGGGAAAGCAAAACAAAGCCTGTCAAAAATGGTTTTAAATAAATAAGCCTAAGCACAAAAACCTAAATCAACTACTGGGTTTGCAGTGGAGGGAAGGAACACCTATGGAGGATTAAAATATTTGTGTGAAGAATGAGGCTACGTGTGTGGAAAGTCAAAAAACTGTGTTCTGCTTCCTGTTTATAGATACCTTACATTTTGAATGCCAAGTATTTACTAGCAGAGAAAGACTTCCTTCTGATTTAAGGCATGATTGTGTAAAGGAAGGGGATTGCTGGTTTATTCTGCAGCTGAACAAGTATTTCCTTAATGTCTCTTATGTGCCACATCCTGGACTCAGGAATGGAGGTCATGGAGATGGAAAAAGGGATGGTACCTGCCCTCCAGGAGCTTACAGTTATGTTGGGCAAGGCAGACAGATCAGTTACATGGACATTCTCAGTACCGTGAGAAAAATGAAGCACCAGGGGACTGTGTGCATGAGGGAGCATACATAGGGAATGGGTTCCTGCTCTGGTAGCCAGAGACCCCTAGAAGGCTTTCTGAAGCAGAGGTCCAAGCTGACGTGAGGTGAATAGGCTTAGCTTCCCAAAGAGGAGGAGATAGGATTGGGTTGTAGTAGGGCCAGCCTTGCTAGGTGGTGGGACCAGCATGAGCAGAAGTGAAGGAAGTATGAGAGTCAAATTTGGTAGGGAGGTGAGAGGGGCAAGAGAATAGGAGGTTATCAGCAGTTTAGAGGTAGTCCTAAGTCATGAATTTCAAGGTAGGAAGCAGCAGAGGGTAAAGCTAGACAGAAAAATCAAAACTACATTTCTCTTTTCTTTGTTAATGTCTGAATCCATCCCATGCTAATCCCCCATCTCCCTACACAAGCACACCTTTTAAAGATAATCACAACTTCGGTGTATTTAATTGAACATTCATTGTAAGTAGGCTAGTCTTTGGAGATGGAGAGGCTGATTGATATTAACAGTAATTAGCTTCATGCTCTCAGAGGCTTTGTCTGCTGAGCTCTCTTTCCAGCACTGCCTAACATGGGCATTGTGGTTGGTTCCCCAGCAGCTATTCTGCTGCAGCCCTGCTGAGTAGCAGCAGTGTGGTTTGGGGAGCTGACCCTCTGAGCTGGTCAGTTGGTTTAAGGGTAATCCTATTTCCACTGCCAGGGTGTTAGTTCGGTAATAGGCGTATTATTCACTCGTGGCCAATGAGAAAAGAGAATAAAATTTGAAGGAGGTTTGGGAGAAAAGGAGCCATAGTCAACCAAGCCCTTTCTGCTGCAAGATGAACAGGAAAAGCTTGTAGTCTAGATGCTGCAAAGGGACCCAGGTTGAGAATAAAGGTGATGCTGTGGATAATAGAATGGAGAGATAAAAAAATCACAATGCTTGATGACACTTGAAGATGAAAATCGGCTAATTCTGAGCTTGTGCCATCACTGGACTTCTTGTTCTGACAGCTGATAATTTTCCTTACTGTTTAATGCAGTTTGGATTTTTCCATCTGTAATATGAAATCATGTGCATCCTAAATGATCCAAAATTTCTGTGACTTTTCTGTATACACTAGTATAGTATGGCCTTTTGTGATCCTGATCCCTTTGAGCCTCATTTTCCTTATCTGTGAAATGAATATAATTATGTCTCAGAGTTTCTCATGAAGATTATTTGAGATTCAGAACAAAGCCTGAAAAGGGAGACACGAACTAATAAATGTTAAGTGCATGGAATGTACCACTAAATAGGAATCTTAGAGACTAGAAGAAATTTATAAATAATGTCCACAGAAAGGGGTACAAATATGATCACATGCATTTGGACCTTTGTGCAGTTTGCTTTTTAAAAAAAAAATGTCATTCATTCAATATTTGAGCAGTATGTTGGGTATAGAGCTATTGGATTTGCTGATAGATGGAAGAGAAGTGATGAATCTTAGAGTGATGTTAAGGATGGCTCATCAGCTTCTGTGTAATTTGGGAAGATTGTAACGGGCAGATTGTTTCTGCTGTAGTTTTACTTGTCTGACATTCATGAGAAAGGTCTGTCTAGGCTGAAGTTAATATTTGGGAGTCACCAGAATGTTGATTGGGAACCTGGGAATAGATGGCCCTGTTAAGGAGGGAGTGGAGAATGGGAGGAAAACACATCATTTCTCTTGGGAAGCCTGTCTCATCATCAGGTGTAAAGTACTCATCAGAATCCTGGCAAGGAGGAAAGGCACTCCCGAACGGAGGGCCAAGCAGAGAGTTGGACTCTTTGGAATCACAGAATCTGGCTGGAGGGGAAGAATGCTGAGAAAGGGGAAAGCCTAAAAATGTTGGGTAAAAGGAGATTATTGATGAAGTGGAGACCTAGGGAAGATAGGGGTATTAAGTATCTGCCTTAACTTCTCTGTGGATAAAGGAAAGGGGATGAGGATAGGAATTTACCTTAATTTTAAGAGTTGGGGTCACAGGGAAATGAAATAATTTACTACCCGAGAAGTCAAAACACACATACCTGCCATGTGCACACAGACATACATGGTAGTTCATGTCATGGAATGCATGGATCTGGCTATGAAAAAGCCCTCTCACCTCCCCACCAAATTTGACTCTCATACTTCCTTCACTTCTGCTCATGCTGGTCCCACCACCTAGCAAGGCTGGCCCTACTACAACCCAATCCTATCTCCTCCTCTTTGGGAAGCTAACGCCTATTCACCTCATGTCAGCTCAGACCTCTTCTTCAGAAAGCCTTCTAGGGGTCTCTGGCTACCAGAGCAAGAACCCATTCCCTATGCTCCCTCATGCACACAGTCCCCTGGTGCTTCATTTTCCTCACAGTACTGAGAATGGCTAAGAAAAAGCCCTCTGGCTTTTTCTTCTTTGCCACACAGAAGTGACAATTCTGTTTTAAAATCACCAGTCCTTTTGTTTGCCTCCTTTATTACATTGTAAGTTCTTTGAAGGTAAAATCTGTCATATGTACATCTATGTTTCCAGGATCTAACCCAGGGGTGGCACATAGTAAGTGCTTAAGAAATATCGCTTGAATGAATGCAAGAGGGTGGACTTGAGGGAATGCTTAAATAACAGAGAAGTTCCCAAGGAGGAGGGGGGAGCACTTTCAGATGGAGGCAGAAATATAAACTAAACCACAGGGTTGACATAATTGCATGTGTGGGAAGCAGTAACAACGTTGCCTGATTCTCATCTGTAAGGTGGGGATTCGTAACTTGCCACAAGTCAAAAACTTGGAATTGAGGGCTTCTGGATTTGCACCTAAATCTTGCTGATTTCCAAGCTCAGGGTTTCCAACTATACCATGCTTCCTTGTCACCATATTATTTCTCGTAATAATCACCCCACCTTTCAACTCACAGATGCCTTGTTTTTTTTTCTCCTTGGGCCCGATGAAATATTTTCTGTCATGGACACCTTCTTTGTATGGTTGGTTTTCTGAGTTCTATTTATTGCTCTTTCCTAGCTCTCCACTGTGGTTTGAATCCACGGGGTATTGATCACCCTGCCCGTGCTGAAGGTATTAAACTCCAGATTGAAGGTGAAGGTGTGGAATCTCAGTCCATTAAAAACAAAAATTTCCAGAAGTTACCTGACCAGAAAGGAACCCCCAAGCGACTGCAGGCAGAAGCTGAGACAGCTAAGGTGCGTAACATTCCAGTTAATTACAGAGATTTGAAAGCTGCAGGCTTGATATGCTGTGGTCCAGCCATAGAGAAGAGCTGATAGTGCTTTCACTAATTACCATTGTATCTGTGGTCAAATGAGCACTGTATCTTGCTGATAAATAATGATAAAGGAAAATATTAACTGTATTCCCTTTGGAATGAAATGGAAACATATTTGTGGCCCATCTCATAGCGTGAGTCTCTGAGGTTATAAAGAAGAATGCCCTGGACTTAAAGCTAAAAGATTAATCTGCCAGGCTCAGACTTAACGCTCTATGGTGTTGGGCAAGTCATGTAACTTTCTGAGTTGCAAATTCTTCATCTACACAGGGGAATCAGTCATAAAATAACTTCTCTTATCAGATTGAGCAGATCAAACGATTGCATGCTTGTAAAGCATTTTATAAAAGCCCCAGTACTGCATTGAGTATGAGAGGCTTGTGCTTACAGGTATTGTTAATTAGTAATAGCTGATATTTTATGAAATATGCATGTATATCCCAGGTACTGTTTGAAGGACTCTTGATCTATAGACTTACTCTGTCCCTGTAACAATCTTGGGAGGTAGACAATATTAAATAGACCCTAACCAATGACAGAGAGAATTATTTTATTCTGCTGTAGGATACTTAGTTCTTTTCAATCTTTAGCCTAAACATAGGTATCATAGAACTGACAAAATAGGCGTTGGTGAAGGTGCACGGAAACTTGGGTTCTGTGGGGTAGGTAATTTTTTAGTAAGGACAGCCTCTTCTAAAGGCTGCCTACAATGGAACTGGCCCTACCTGGGTATTTGTCTGAAATCAATGCAGATGTTCATGTTGGGGGCACAGTGTTGTTAAAGATACTCATATCAGTTTTCCTCTTAGGCACTGAGGAAATTAATCTTCATATAGTTTTGTTTTTCCCTGTATTCCCTGCAAGACAATGTGCTTTCAAATGTTGGTTGAGTGAATGAATGTATGCATGCTTTGGAAAGCAAATATTGTAACCACCCAAGAAAAATCTTAAGGAAAAAAGTCACTTGTTGTTGTACAATAACCACCTCCCTTCTCCAAATAATATCTTCCAAAATCATATGTGAATTTTTTTTTGCTTTATCTACAGTTTTGAATAATTACTGTTATTCCTTTTCTTCTTTACTATGGATAATTAAAAATTGTTGACATTAAGTATGTGTGTGTGGTAGGGAATGGGGAATGATTACCAAGAAATATATCGCAGGCATTTTACACTGGACATTTTAGCTGAGAGAAACGGCAACTCGTAGGATATTGACCGATGATCAGTGACGTTTGGCTCGTGAGCAGCATTGGAAATGAGTGAACCCTGTTAAGACAGCTAAAGCTGATCAATCCATGTTGCTACATGGATATCTTGAAAGAGCGAGGAAAAGAAGCCTTAAGGGGTGTCTCTAGGAAGACAAATAGACTTTCTCTGAGTGAAATATTTTCTAAAGGATGCTTAAAATATTAAAAATTAGAGTAGACAGAAAAGTTAACTGTTGATATTTGATTTTATTTTGACTTTAAACATTTCTAGTGTGTATCTCTTTTATTTGTAAAGGGATTGGAAATATAAAAAATTTGATTCAAATCTGATACAATTCTGTTTCTGAATTATCTTGAATATGTGATATTGTTGTGAATCCTGAAATTTTGTGTCTTTGCCTCTGAAGCACTTTATAGTTGCTTTGCTGAAAACATACTTCAATGAGTGTGTATAATGAACCTTTCTTCTGGAACAAACCACATATTAGAAACCAGATTCATTTGAGTTTATGCAAATCATCTACAGTGAACACCCATCCCCAACAAATGAAGTTGAAAGGAGATTCTACTTAGAGGTGAACAGACTAGAGGCTTTAGTAAAGCTTACAAGAAGAATTTGTACACTTGTTTAAATGGAGGACTAGGGAACAACAGTGGCTGCTGGGGGAACAGAGTTAAAATCACTATAATGTGATTACTATGGATGTCAGCAGCATCACAACCCCTGAAGCTTCTGTACCTTAGACAATGTGAACTTATATTGTACAGGTACAAATGCATTTACATTTTCCCTTCTGTTGTATTTAGAGGCTAGTGGAGTTGTGAGCCATCTTCTCTTTTCTTGGGTATATAGTTGAATCTCTGGTAAATTGACCCACTCGAAACCTACCTTTAAAAACCTGTGGCTAGAAATACATACATCTAAAGCCATTCAATAATGTAAATTCATATAGCTTTTCTGGATGACAGCTTGATAATCGTTATCAAAATTTTAAATGTGTGCAATTTTGGGGCCAATAATTTTTTTCTCTAGGAACTTGCCTAAGGAAATAATTAGCCATATGTACAAAGATGGCTACAGGAGAACACACTGAAACTAGCCCAAATGTCCATTCATGGGACACTGGCTAAAGAAACTGTATTAATGCAATGGAATATAATTTTTCCTTTGTGAGGATGCAAGAGACTTATATGTATTTATGTGGAAAAATGTGATAATATTTTAAAGTAGAAAGGGAATGAGAGGGGTAGGTTATGACACAGTAGGTATAGTGTGTTTCCATTTAGGTAAAAATGTCTGTCTCTGTATAAAGGCATCACTGAATCTGGGAGGGTTTTCCACAATTTGAGCAGCAGTTTCTATCTGGAATTAAAATTACGGAGAAAACTTATACTTTCTGTACTTCTGCTTTGCTTGAATTTTGAATAAGACATGTATTATTTTAAGTGTTTTTATTTTAAAGCCCTTTTTGAATTGTGCCATTAACTTTAGCAGCTCCACCATGACATTTTCTGTTTGTTTGGGTTAGTATTCTACTTTTAGGGTACTGAATTTCCTCACATGGCTTCTAATTCTTGCTGGTGGTTTATTTGGCAGAGGAGTAAATTATTGTGGGGTCTTTTTGCCCATGTGTGCCTTGGATTGTAGAGGCTTCTGGTGAGGTCTTTATACATCTGCCTTCTCCTGAACTCTGGGATGCGAGAGCTCTGGCCAGGTATTACACTAATGTTTCAAGTTGACCTTCTGTCTGTTTGCTTCTGACTGATTATGCAAATCAAGTTCCTCCATATGCAGACTTCTCACAGGAAACCTGGTGTATCTCTGGGCCTTGCCACTTTGATTCCTGCCATGATGGGCTTTGAAACCAATCCCTCAGCACACCACCTGTTCCAGAGTAGCTTAGTGACCTTATATTTAATAGGCAATGCTAGAGTCTATGTGTATATGTGGGTTGGGGGAGGATTGTAGCATGTGCTTAATCTACCCTGTTGACACCGAAATTTGTATTGCTTTCATAATTTTAAAAAGTGTGTGTGAATATGTGTGTGTGTGTGTGTGTGTGTGTGTGTGTGTGTGTGTCTATATTCATTTTGGGTAAAATAATTCTCTGTCTTAGAAAGTGACATTTTGGGACCCTTAGCCCCAATTCCTCAAAGACTCAGAGCCCTTACTCCAGAAAAAGCTTGTCTGGCTACAAGTTGCCTCCAGCTCTTATAGACCAAAGAGAAACCAATAGAGTACCCAGATCACTTGTAAGTCTCATTGGGAATGATAGAATCTAGTTGAAAATTAAAAATGAATTCAATTGAAATGTGGATCTGCAAAAAATACTTACCAGAATAAGTCCTAAATGTTTGCGAGTACTTGGAAATTCAGAGAGAATATGTATGCCATGCCATGCCACAGCTATAGTTACCAGTTTAAGAGGAAAAAAAATTATGTCTACTTAGCTTTACAGGAGAGTACAGGCAAGAAATATAGTAGGCAAAGCATTTTCATCTCATTAGGAGGCCCAGAAGTTATCCAAGTACACAGCTTTTTTTGACCCATCACCCACACAGCTGCCACAGTTGAGAGTCCAGGTGAGGATGAGTCTCTTTGATATATAAAAGGCTCACCCTCTTTTTTTCACCATTCATTTATACCATTCTAGTAACGTAGACTCAAGACGAAGCCACAGCTCCTGAAGACCAGGAGTGGCTCCACATAGCAGTTTCCAAAAAACCAGCGCTATGGGAAACTGAAGTCCTTCTCAGAAAGGCCAGCCCTGAGATTTATTAACCCTTTACTTACAGAGCAGTCAGAACAAGACTACAAGGGAGCGTACTCTAGCACACGTAGAACTTGACCTGTGCTGCTAAGTATGGATAAATTCCAATATGTAGCCCTAAGAATGGAGGGTGCTTGGAGCCATGAAGTCTAAACACCTTGAACTGAGGTATGGCAGCAGAAATGCTCAGGTGTGTTCAACATCAGTCTCTTCAAGTCAGAATTTGTGTGGCATAAATCAAGTCTGAAACAGTAGGTTTGGGCCAAACTGTGTGATGGAATTTGAATGTTGGAGTGAGTACCATGGATTTACTTTCTACCTTCATTGTTCAATACAATAGCCACTAGTACATGTGGATATTCAAATTTATTTAAATTGAATAAAATGCAAAAATTTTTTTCTTTGGTCATACCAGCCACATTTCAAGTTCATTATCCCATGTTTTGAGGGGCCGCTTCTTTGGACAATGTGGATATGGAACATGATCATTATGGCAGAAAGTCCTATTAGACATTGCTTCTCTAATCTATGGGAAACCATTGCAGTTCTCTGGGTATAGGAATAAGATGTAAAATGGAATTATGTTGATATTCTCACTGATCCTTATCCTTGGGCTTGAGTGGACAAGTGCTTCAGTCATTAAAAAAAAGTCAGAATACTGGGGAGTTTCTTTAGAAACTGATGTTCCCAAATGCTCTGATGGTTGGAATTTGAGAATCTATGGCAACTCTGGCTATGGAATAAGATCAGCCCATCAGTATCCTATCTGTTTCCTATCCTGGAATACACTAATGTGTCTTTGCATGACGTTGGGAATTCTTGACATCTAGACTTGATTTTCTTTTTTTCGTTTCTTTTTTTTTCTTCTTTTTTCCCGATTTGTTTTTTTTTTTCTTTTTTCTTTTTTTTTTTCTTTTTTTATTCTTTTCTTTCTT